GGATGTTATCAATACATCGATGTTGAATATCGATCAATGCTCAATTGCTCATGCCTAATTCTGTCCAGTTGTAGAAGCAGAGAGCAAAGTGTTTGTTACTTTATCGTTAAACCATATATTTTCATTGGTAGGCATTATGGCATTAAGAAACGAAAATGTTCAGGTTAAATAGAAACAAATAGTTTATTATATATATTTGGCATGACCTGTTAGCCATTGTGCCTGTAAGCCCAATGAACCAGTTTCTACACCCGGCAAGTAAGTAGTAGATGCGCTGCGTCTAGACATATTGCAGCCCAACTGTTGACCATGTCAAGACAACTAAGGTCACCATTGTATGATATTTCTATGTGGCCACCACAGGACCCAGATAAACCAACCTATTAATAAAATGATAATTTATACCTCATAATATTGGGTAATCAAATAAATGTAGTCAAAAGTATTGTTCAAATTTCTTTTGGGACCTTTTTTTTAATATAGACATTTTTGTAAAAACAACAGACAAATTTATTTGTAGGTTCAAGTGGTTAAGTAACAAACATAAAAATATTATGATTCCAGGAAACAAAATCTGATGCCAAACGATGATGGAGGTAAAAATTACTGACAATCTATTGGCCTAAAATGGTTCATTATTTTAATATAGGTACTGTACTTACTCCACACTGGAAATAATCAACCAGTTCAGAGGTTAGGTCCACTAGATCAACTCGGTAGTAACACACAGTAAAATGTAAACGAACAAACAAATCGTGAGACTAGTGCTTGCAACTACGTGTCTGTAAGCCGTGAGAAAAACATTATGATATTGGATAAGTGACTGGATTAACCAAGGATGAGGCCAGATATCAGGGGTTTTACTGTATTGATATATTTCTATGTCCTTCCTTCACATCCTAGGTCGCTAGGCTCACATCAATTCTGGCTATGCCTAAAGGTCATTGCATTACCATATAGTTGAAAGCCATTGGTGTATTACGTCATTTGAATCTCAGGGACCTCACGTCTCACGCTACAGACTAGTATTGGTATTTTTAGGAGTATGCAAGTTGTAAATTTAAAGGTCGAGTCAAGTCGAGTTTCCAACAAAAATTGGGAGCTTTGCTATAAAACAGCTTGTTTTGAGTCAAGTATTTTATAGCAAAGTGACTTCCGCAGTTGCTTTAAAAAATCCAAATTAAAGTGTCCTAAAGTGATTATAGATGCACTTTTATGGTATGTACAGCACAATTTCAATAAAGATTGGACAGTTTATGTGAGTTTCAAATTCAAATAATTAATACTTACACTTACAGACTATGTAAGAATAATACTGCAAACATAGAGAGCTCTTCAAGCATGAACTTTTCTTCAAACACATACATAATTTTTTGATTATTGATTAGTGACACTATCTAACAACTGTTAGGGAAATTAAGTTACAATACCAGTGTTTTGACCGGTATTAATGTATTACAATTATTCCTAAGCTCAGTTATTCTAGTACTAGCAGCAAACCCCGGCTTTGCCCGTGTAAAATTATACAATGTTATAGTAAGTAGTTATAGAATTAATTTTATATTTGTTTTCATAGATATACACATATCTTGGCCTACAATAAAATCGAGAAATTTGTTTATTCTTTGTAGCACAAGATTCCTGAAATTGCAACTAAAATGTTGAAAAGCAATTAAATTATCCAGCTGATCATAATGTAAACAAATATATTCTTCATAAGGAAAACATGGGAACTTTAAAAAAGCCACTGGGGCAGAACACAAGGGACTTTTTGCAAAAATTTAAGTTAAGTTTGAAAATCTACACACCTAGCCGAACATTTTGGTACTCACGATGTATTTATCTCGTGACCGTGTTATTATATTATCATATTATTATATGACTGGGACGGGTGGCGTCGTCCTGTAATCCAGCTACTAGGAGGTCTTGAATTGTGGATAATTATAGGGATGCACTGTGGATGCGATGCTTCCTGGTGTGGATTAACGTCCGCACTAGTGTGTACTAGGACTATCCGCAGTACTATCCTAATAATTAGACCAATTCGTTAATTACGAGGAAGAAAAATGTGGTCCGGATTCCACGATAAACTGTAGGTCCCTTAGTTGCCATTACCTGTATGGGCTATTAATTAACAGCTGTGTCTAAAGAACATGTCGGCCTTAAGTCACTAACAAGACTACAAGATCACGCCACTCATCCTACAATCATCCTTCACTCATATTTGGGTTAAAATACGCACATAGTGGCGTCCCCATCCTCGTCGCCACTAAAACATATTTCAGTAATAAAAGTGATTCTTTAAATGTTAGAACAAAACTGTATTTTTATTATCATAGAAAAAATGTAAACATAAACATTTTACAGATGTTTCAGATAATTGTTAATATTATAAATTATAAGCCAGGTATAATCTATCTATCTATACTATTATAAAGAAGAGGTGGTGTCTGTGTGTGTGTGTGTTTGTATGAGGTAATTTCAAAAACTACTGAACCGACTGGGCTCAAATTGCACACAAATGAAGCTACAGCTCCGAGGATACATATAGAACTATTCCCGCTTCGATATTGTCCTAGGGCTCTGCCCCGTGAGCTTTAAAAAATTTGAGGTGAGAGATTTAAAAGTAAATATTGATTGATGGTATCCATGGTAACAAAGAACAAACCTACAAAGTTTAAAAATGTAAACAAGCAGAACTAACTGTCAAATGAATTTAGATTTCACAATTCCACACAGCTGGTTCAAACATATTAAATACTACACGAATATTAGAACAGAGAGGGTAAGGATTATAAATTTAAAATAATTATGTCACTAAGCCCGAATGTAAACATTATTTAACATTACTTAAATGGAGCTGTCAAACCATATGTTAATGTAATTTCATTAGTGTATGATTCTTTCAGTTACTTCATTTGTTTATGTTTATGATCTACTGAGTCTGTTCTAATATTTGTGAAATGCTGTAATAATATTTTACAGGGAATAAATCTTTGTAAATAAATTGTTCATGGATATAGGAAATAATTAAGATTTTATAATCAGAAAGTTTTGGATGTACGGATGTATAGATGTATGGATGGATGTTTGTGACAAGTAAACGCGAAAAATACTAAACCGACAAGGTTGAAATTTAGTATGATGATAGCTGACATTCCCGATTAACATATAGACATATTATTCTTACCTCAAAAATCCTTTCAGGCTCCACCCCAGTGGCTCTGGCTCTGGAGTTTCTCATGTAAACCTTATGAGTATTCATATTTAAAGAAATTAAAGAATTTTGTCAGCCCTTTCAACTTTACAAGTTGGTTCTATGATATTAAATAGCATTAAAAAGGTATAAGGCTTACCAACAGGGTGCAGCACTATTATGTTTTTTGCATTTATGACCAGAGCTAATTTTAACCAACTAGCAACAAAAAGTTGTGGTACACAATGAGAACTTAACTTTTTTTCATGGTTTAGGTGCAGTGGTAGAATATTAGGGCTATGGTAGATACTATAGGACACTACATGATACTATATAATACCGTTTAAACTAAAAGACCAAATTTTAATAAACCGTGTCCTCTCCCATAACTAAAAGCATTTATACTTATTTGCCAACCCCGTACGAAGGACGGGTACTCTGCTAGTTGAAATATATTACAGGTTAGCTATGAATATGTACCTCCTGCCCCGTACCTCCTGCCCCGGTAAAACCATTGAAGCCCAATGTGTACTTAACTCCTTCTCCCCCGACAGTGAGCTACGACGAGTATTCCATTCCAGCTCTAACAGCAGTTTCCAACGGTTACAAATCGACCACGTCAATTCTAAAACCCCTAGTTGATTTCCCTCCTGTTCAGTATTTATTTAACTCCCGCTCCTGTTCATTTTGAATACTCTACTCCAGTTCCAGACAAAACCTACTACTATTCAACAACTCCAGTAAGCTTTTAAGCTATACACCTGCTCCAGTGAAAAAAAAAACTAAAAAAAACACAACTAAAGCCAATTGCCTACACCAGATAGGTATCAGTTATGAGTTTTCCACACCAAGAATTCAACCTGTTGTTCTCTTTTTAGAGGGGAAGACTGTAATATATTTCAATTATACCTGGCTTATAATTTATAATATTAACAATTATCTGAAACATCTGTAAAATGTTTATGTTTAAATTTTTTCTATGATAATAAAAATACAGTTTTGTTCTAACATTTAAAGAACCACTTTTATTACTGAAATATGTTTTAATGTACATGATAATAATTTTTTTTAACTTAAACTAATTTAAAAACCACATTTTTGCGAGGGTTTTGGGAGTTGCTTATAAAACCAAACCCTAAATATTAATTCAATTGTTTAGACCTACTGACAAACTTGGCCATATACTACATGGCCTCAATTAATATTTATATTCAATGCAATTTTCATTTATTTTCTAAAACCCCTATAGCACAAATTAAATAATTTGATGTAATTGCTAGTATTAACGAGTAAATTTCACTCTTGAAATAGGCATTTAGTATTATTTATCTAAATATCTGCTGATTATGTTTTAAGGTCAGTTGACAGTAAGAGTTATAAAATGACTGTCTAGAATGAAGATTGTGCTTTGATTCTGCCATACTGTACTAAAATAAACGCTTCTAGCAAACTCATTAAGAACCTATTGAGTTTTCTTAAGGCAACTCAGAATTGGTCATTTTGGTTGATGAGGCAAATACTGAAATACTCGCTGGAAAATATTCGACCACACGAGAAATCGCACACCCCTAGGTATTATCCATGTCTAAATTGTAAAATTAAGAGCATGAAATGAAGCTAAGTACAGTACGTGGTTCTCACTTTTTTAATTTATAGGCATAGTCAAATCACAGTAAAACATTGAAATCAGACTAAACACAATAGTATTATTTGTTTAAACATGAAACAAAATTTATTTCATTCTTTTAAATAAAAAGTAAACACCGCTGACTAATGAATAAGAGGAAACAAAATAAACCTTGAATAATACATTAAGATAGTTTAATTAATTTATAAGACTGTCTGAATAAATCATACTGATAGCATTGATCAGCTAGCTGTTCTTTAGTAATATCACAGCAACCAAATTAATAGATTACACGTAACTGGATGATAACAATCCATTGAACTACAAGTTCACTTAGTAATTTTGACAAAACCAGCAGTATTTGAAAAGTACTTGGCATTTGCTTCCGCCACATTTTTCTCAGCTGCTTGAGGATTTACAATTTCCAAACCTTGCAAGGGAGTGAACGCAACACTTGATGCAGTTCCAGAAACTTGTTTCTTGACTGTTGTACTTCCACCCCATATCTGTTGCTGTTTTTGAAGGTTTTTCTGAAGTGTTTTAGAGATTCGAACCTTGGTTTTTTCATCAACTTGGGGCAGTCTGATTCTTCCAGTACCTGCTTTTCCGATCGTACCTCTTGTGTATCCAAGATCTTCTTGATAGGCATCATCTTCAATCTGGGGAAGTAGTTCAATGTAAGTAAATTACTACAGTGTTTTCATAGACAAGTAAGCACAAACCCTAAAAATACAAAATTTACATTGATCACCCGGAACCTATTTTTTTCTACAGCAAATTTTAAGTAGCCTTTTATCCTTACCCCTCCCATGTTTATTGATAGCTTTGAATAGAATCCAATTCCTTTTAAGAATTGAAGCAAGTTTTTTTCAATAAAAGTGTATACCTTAAATTAATACATGGGGAAAGTAAGACATTAAAAAAAAGAAACCAAATAAGATAGGGTTTATTTTATATTGTAACTGTATTTAAATCACCCAACTTACTAAATATCTAAATTTTTGAGTAGTTTACATACACCGGATTGTCAGCAGAATCTATAAACTAAATTCACACATTTTTCCCGGTTTTCCTGCCTAAAAAGTACAAATTTCCCGTCATCTAATATAGGCTACTTATAAGAAAATCCAAATAAAAGTTGTAAAAACAAATTAAAATAACGGATATTGGTAAATAATTAAAAAACCACATTTTTATTAGCCCTTAGGACCCATTAACTCTTAATATTCACTCGACAAACATTGCAAATTAAGGTTAAAAATTAACATTAATGAGGTTAACACTTTGCTGAATAAACTTGTACTACAGAGCTAGGCCTACTGGAGCAATTTCGAACTACCAAACGTTACGATTTTCACGTTATATTTGCCGATAGTTACTTATGATTAACTGTAAACCGGTTAAATTAAATACCAATAATTACTACAATTAAAATTATGTATTTTTCAAAATTAAAATAAATGTAGCACTTTGAAACAAAATTCCTGGTAGGAAATGTTTTTCTTAGGCCTACTGAAGCAGTTTGTAACGTTACGTTTTTTGCGTTATATTTGCCAATAGTTACTTATGATTAACTGTAAACCGGTAAAAAACCAATAATTATTACAATTAAAATTATGTATTTTATAAAAGTAACTAAACTAAAACATCAATTCAATCCAATCCTCAGTCTAGTGTCGATTAGGAATCGTATTGTCATCACTTAAATCGTCGTGTCTGTCTACAGTACAGTTCCGCCATTGCTTGCTGTACGAACACACAACGCGAACGCAGGCCGCATACAAATACTTATTAAGGTCAAGGTTAAGTCATACCGGCAATGGCAGCAATATTTGCGCATTGAACTAGAGCTACAACCGAGGGTAGCACTGAATGCGAGAATTGAGAGACATTGGCCGCCATATGTACTAGGGGTAGGGGAATAGTACTTTGGAACTAGGGGGTTGTGAGATTTCCAATAACCAATGACCTGGTTGATTCTCCTAGTGGTACCAACATAACAAATAACTTCTTGATCAGCATTGTACATGTTATTAAATTTACGGAAAGTAAAAAAAAAAAACGTCTTATAACACTAAAAACATATTTACGCTTATACTGTTACTCACAAGACGGTAAATATACATAAAAGATGGAAACTGGTGATGGATTTCGATCGGACACTCCAATCATCATCAGACCCAATAGGAAAAATTAACTTTAAGACCCAATTTACTTTCTATGAATTTAATTTGCTTGACATGATTTCCTTAAACCTTTGTCAAATTCAATCAGGTTATGTTATGTGTTTTACATTTTCTTTAAATATTGATGAGTTTGGCCTACATCAGGTGTATGAAATAGCCTTTGCAAATTAAGAATTTACTTACTGTTGAAACAATAGTTATTTGTGTAACTAGTGGGCGAAGTGGCACTTTGCTGCACACAAGAGAAATGTTTACGCACAAGCCGTAGGCGAGTGTGAAAAGTTTCTCGAGTGCAGCAAAGGCAGTTTGCACTCGCGTTACAAATTATATATTTCTTACAGTTACTATAAAGCACATAAATAATTAGGCTTTCAAATACTGTACAACACGTTTTTAGGTTAGGTTAAATCCTAACATTGAACAAAATGGGAAACGCTGCACCAGCTGATCGTAGTCGTAATATCTTTAAATGTTGCCAACTTATTTTCAAGCGTACACGTATTACGTGTACGCTTCTCCTAATCAACGTGCCTAATCAAAGCACGCTGTTTTCTTTGATTTCGTTGGAATGCTGACAAAAAAAAAAAAAAAAAACTTTGGCATAAGTAAGTAGATGCAGCAAATAGCAACATTCTGTGCTATAACCAGTGCAAGGAAGGCCACTTTGTCAGGTGATTGCAGGAAAAGATAATACTCACATCAGCAAAGTTTAGTCTGTTGTTTTGTTTCCTCAGCTCAGTCATCGCGTAACGCTCCTTGGTCTTCCGTACTCTCTTACCTCCTCGCTTCTTCCGGCCAGGATCAATCGGTTTGGGCAATGGCTTCACAAACTTCACAGGAGGTGGTTCCTGATGAATAGAACAATTAAATTAGTAACATTAAAAACCATTAAAACCCAGCTTTGCCAGTGAAGTTTTTTAAATTTGGAGGAGGACTTTTGTTATTCACACACAATTGAATAAAAATACCTACATTTGTAAATTGTTAATCTTAATAAAGCAAAATTATGACCCAGTTTAGGCAGATTTTGTATGTAAAAACAGGTTTTGTTAAAAACTTTCAAGTAAAAATTTTATATTGTTGATTATTATAGAGCAGGTGTAACTGAAAGCCCAAAATACAAACTCGTACCACAACCCACAACCCCGGTGAAACACACACCAAATTACCTAATTTTTATTTGTTCAGAAAATAGAAAGATAACTTATTAAGTTCCTTTTGTATGATGTACAATAAAAATTAAGATCGAGTCATGTCCAAGTGAGCTAGTTATGTCTGAAACCATTGCTGTGTGTACTTCTTCCTTTATACTATTCTAGCTGGATCCCTCCCTTTTAGCCTGGTCGTAGTAGCTGATAGCGTTGTACGGAAAATTCAACACTTGTTGAAGACCTATATTTTGACAACCCTCGTATGCACAAAATTTTGATTAGGTAAACTCACCATGAGCTTGTCTAATTTCTTCTCGATTTCCTCACGCATTTGTCGTCCAATGCTGCCGTCTGGGTACTCGTGAGAGGCGTCTACTCTAGAGGCCAAGGTACACTTGGTGGCCACAAGTCTAGAGGCCTTCCTACGCAGGTCTGGTGGTGTGTCCTGTACAATGTCTGAGAAGTATATGAAGCCTGTGTGAGGTAGAGAGGCAACTGTGGAGAAGCCTGACAGAGTCTTACTCTGGGAGCCGAGTATGAGGAGGTTACAAGCTGGCATCTTGCTGAGCTTGCTGAGACCTCCAGCAACACCTGCCACAGTATAAAAGTCAGTATCCCTTACACGACCTTCATGTTAATTGCAAGGTAATATTGCCTGTTAAGATAGTCTTCAGCCTTTAGCCTTTTCACACAAGCAAAAACAAAGGGATCTAAATTTTATTGAAAGCAGTCATCTTGTTTTCCTGGGAAACAAAAATAGTCCTTGGAATATGGACCAGTAGATGTGTTATACATATAAGTACAGATGGTTTTAGTTTCCCTAATTTGTGACGCATATAAAAAAAATGAAAAATATGTTTCCTAAAGTTACCTGACAAAAAAGACTTCTTTGCACTGATTATAGCACGCCAAGTAGCTAATTGATGCATTTACTTACTTTTGCCGCACTCATTTTTTTTGTGGGCGCACTCCAGTATTCCAACCAAACAACACAAAACAGTGTTCTTTTATAAGGCATGTGATACGTACCTGTACGATTGAAAATAAGTTGGCAACACTTAAAAATACTACGACTTCGATCAGCTGGTGCAGCGTTTTTCATTTCGTTCAACGCTTGGATTTAACCTAACCTAAAAACGTGTTGTATAGTGTTTGAAAGATTAATTATTTATATGCTTTATAGTAACTGTAGGAAAAATATAATGTGTAATGTGAGTGCAAATGCCTTTCCTGCACTCAAGAAACTTTCCACACTCACCTACGGCTCGGGCGTAAACTTTTCTCTCATGTGCAGCAAAGTGCCACTTAGCACACTAGTTACACAATGTATTCGTGTTAATGTATTCAAAAACTCCAAGCAATTAACAAAAAAACCCTGCCACAGTAAACCTGCAGACTAACTCCATTGAAATGGCGACCATACAAGTATGAATGGAGATGAGTGTAGGATGAGTGGCGCGATCTTGTAGTCTTGTTTGTTACTAAGGCCAACATATTCCTTAGACACAGCTGTTAATTAATACAGTTAATGGCAACTAAGGGACCTACAGTTTATAGTGGAATCCGAACCACATTTTTGCCTGGTATTACGAATTGGTCTAATTATCAGGAATAGTACTGCAGATATTCGTAGTACTCACTGATGCGGAAGTTAATCCACACCAGGTTGTGTCGCATCCATAGTGCATGCATATAAATATCCACAATTCGTTACCTCCAAGTAGCTGGATTACAGGATGAATTTCCATTTGCCTGTTTTGATTTTAACTTAAATCTTTTTAAATGACATTAGGTTTAATGTGTCCCTAGGTTTGTTGCTACAGGGAGGGGATTAAAGTGTGTGATTTATAGACATACCAAGAACAAAAACAACTTGCGCAGAAACGAAAAGATCACGTGGTTCGCGCCGGGAGGTGTGGCGGACCATTCGAACCTGCGCGGCTCGAAACGGCCCAGGGTTCTTTTGTTTCTGGTATTACTATAGTAAAATAAATATATTTGCCAAGTTTGATCAAAATATATCCATAAGCAAGCAAACTATGACAGTTTACTTATTCTCTGTAACAATAACATGGGAATTTTAAATTGACTTAAAGTTTAATTAAATTTACATCAAACCAAGCTGAACAAAGTGTTCTTTTGTTTATAAAATCGATTAAATATTGTGTACTATGTTTCCTTAATCATTGGTTAGTGTGTAAATGTATTTTCAATGGACTATGAATCTATGGTAATATGAACTGATTGGTATGTTATGTTGTTAGTTAATGTTTTTGTAGTGCAGAATAAAAGAGATGTAATGAATTTTACCATTTAACTTTATAGTCCTTGATGTTTTGATAATCATATTTTTTTATGGCTTCAATGCTCAATTTAATTTTTAGATTAATAATATGTAAAGATACAAAGATGGAAGTTTTCTTTATTAATTAATATAAAAAAAAACACAATTACCCATGACTTTGGCTGCAGTAGAAGCTCCAACAATTGCTGACAGGTTTGGGGCTATGTAAGTCATTCTGCTCTCCACATACTCGTAGATGCGCAGCTTAAAACTGTTGAGTTCAGCTGCCATGTCACAGGCCTCTTGTATGTCGTCTAGTTCTTTGTCTGTCAGTAACTGACTGTAGACGCAACAGACAAATGTTAGATCAGACCTTTGAGTGGGAATTTAGAAATCTCCTAAAGGCTGCAATAAAAATGGGTTTTAAAATCTATTAAGGGAACATTTATGCTGCAGTGAGAAACGTGTAAATGACTCCATAACTTTTAAAAACTTAAACACAAGGCTTTGTTGCACATACTTCAAGTAGGCATATAGGCTACTTTCTATTAAAATAACATACTTAATTTTTATTTTTCATGACTCCATTGGTCCATGAATGTATGTTTTAAAATTTACACAACGAACAAATATAGACAACTGATAAGTTCTTAATTGAACAATTACTCATACAAATTAAGAGACCAACTTTTTTGGACGATCAACGTAAATCTTTTGTTGGCCTTTCACTAATTCTTGGTGTTACAGCTGGCAGAGGCGAATCCAGGAATTTGTTGAGGGATGGGCTCACTTTTTTAAAATTATTGTGTGGGTTTATTAACAAAACTGTAGTGCATTCCAAAATGATGCAACCTGAAGGGTGCTGTGATCCAATAATAGTCTTTTCTTTATTGTCTTGTTAAAAGCATATGGTTTATGTTTTTATTGTGATAATTTGTTTTAGTGTTGAGATGGCATGAAAATTAAAATGTTCTTTCCTTTAACTAGTTTGTTTTATTCTTTTGTGAATATACTACACTGGCGACGAGGATGTCTAGAAGAAAGCAGAAGAGTGATAGGGAAGTTGATGAAGTCTCACAGTGAGTTAGAGAGGAAAATTGAGAAGTTTGTCTTTGAGAAATACAAATGTGAAGAAACAGCAGAAGAGTATGTTGAACATTTTCAACAAGTTTGTCGGGTGAAAGGGGTTCAGATGAGCGTAGTAAGGAAGCGAGAAAAGATTTACTACTGGCTTATGTGGGAAGTGAACCACTCCAGAAGATGCAAAATTATTTCATCCCGAAGAAGAATCTTGATTCTTATTCATATGAAGAAATTAAGAAATGTGCATTCTTCTCACTGTATGGTCCTAACCAAACTATTTTTGCTGCCTGTTTTGAGTTTGAAAGAGCTGTTAGGAATGAAAGTGAGTCTTTCACAGAATAGACCTAATTCACTCGGTTAAAGAAACTAAGCAAACACTGTCCGTATGGCTAAGGCTTGGATGAACGGATCCGGGATTGTTTTATCACAGGGGTGTCCAATGAACAAATTGAAGTGAAAGTAAAGCCCCCCATACACTATCCAACATGTTGGACGGACATGTCGGGATCCGACGTCTTGTCGAACATATTGGACAGTGTGTGGGTTCCGACCCGACATGCTCGACGGATATGTCAGGTCGGATGCTCGGTCCGATAGCACCACCCGACTCGAGCCGTCCGCCTGACATTGGAGCCACAGTTTCCAGTAAACTATTTATTTGTAAAGTATTTAGCGAGTTGTGCGTGATGTGATAACCGTCCCATTTTTCCACATTGTCATTTAATAATAATAAACAGTTCTGGTCAGAATTTATTTAACTCTACAGAGACTAGAAGGCGTTGTGGGCTGTCAAAAGTAAACTCTATTGCAACAAACATGCACATAGGGGCACGATATCCTGATGGAAAAGTGCAAGGAACTGTATCCAGAATGTGATTTAAAGTTCGTTAAAAATAAAATTGAAAATTTAAGAGCCTAGTTCCATATGCTCTAAAAATCCCTAAAACCATCGCTAAAAATCACCCTGAAACAGCTAACAGTCGTCTCAAAATCCATCTCAGAACTAATATTTCACCTGACTTGTTGGGTAACATGCTCGATAGTGTGTGGGAAACACCTGACATAAGTCAGGTTGGATGATGGGTCCGTCGTCAGGTCAGGTTGTCAGGTCGGGTGGCATGTTCGATAGTGTATGGGGGGCTTAAGGCATCGTTGGCCGGATGGTGTAAAACCGGGGTCAGTGTAGTCACGGCAGAGAGAGTGTTCCAGTTAGCCAGTCCATGGAGCATGCCAGAAACAAGGTGAGTGCCAGTGCTACATCGAGTGTATGTTTTGTTAAGAAGAGACAAACAACTAGTCATGTGAATAGATGTGAGAACTGTGGCAGATATAGTTGTGTCAAGGAGCAATGTCCAGCAAAAGGCCAGGAGTGTCTAAAATGCCATAAGATTGGATATTTTGCTAGGGTGTGCAAAAGGAAGTTTGTCAGTAAAATTGACACTAAGTTTGCCGATGGAGAGCACAGTTCAGAGGAGGTGGAATCTGATCTTCATGCTCTTAACAAGGTTTCAAACAGAACACCTCGTGCCTCAATAAGAGTGATAGTTAATGGACTGCTTTGCCTTAAGGAATTTGATTCGGGTGCTAGAATTTCTACAGGGTGTCTAGTTTATTTCCATTATAAAATTCAAGACTAATTCCAGACTTTTCAAGACTAATTCCAGATTTTTCAAGACTAGTTTTTTCAACAATTAGTGCGTGTTGATACCAAAATGTATCAATTCTCGATTCTTGATACCGATACCAATTTTTATAGCTTAACCAAATTTTCTGAATAATACTACACCAACCCCTGTCTTTGTCATAAAGTAGTATTATGAAAATGTGGTGTTTTCAAGTAAAGAAATAATGCAGCAATAAAAAATTATAACTAGCAAATTTGTTTTTTTTTATCATGAAATCTTCCACGTACCGTACGTTTAGACATCATCATTGACTGCAGAGGTTACAGAAACGTGATCGTCATCGTCCGCGATAGCGGCAAAATCATGAACATTTCCCGCGGCCGTGTAGACATCAACGTCGTCTCCCACGGTCACGGAAACGTCATCGTCGTCTCCCGCGGTCACGGAAACGTCATCGTCGTCTCCCGCGGTCACGGAAACGTCATCGTCATCTCCCGCGGTCACGGAAACGTCATCGTCGTCGTCCGCGATCGCGACAAACTCATGAACATTTCCCGCGGCCGACCATGATCGCGACAAACTCATGAACATTTCCCGCGGCCGACCATGATCGCGACAAAATCATGAACATTTCCCGCAGCCGAGCAGATATCGTCGTCTCCCGCGGTCACGGAAACATCACCGCCATCTCCCGCGGTCACGGTAACGTCATCGTTATCTCCCGCGGTCACGGATACGTCATCGTCGTCGTCCGCGATCGTGACAAAATCATGAAAATTTCCCGCGGCCTCGTCCGCGATCGCGGCAAAATAATGAACATTTCCCGCGGCTGTTTAGACCACACCGTCATCTCCCGCGGTCACGGAAATGATATCGTCATCGTCCGCGATCACGGCAAAATCATGAACATTGCCCGCGGCCACACGGCATCATCGTCGTCTCCCGCGGTCACGGAAACGTCATCGTAGTCGTCCGCGATCGCGGCAAAATCATGAACATTTCGCACGGCTGTTTAGACATTACCGTCATCTCCCGCGGTCACGGAAATGTTATCGTCATCGTCCGCGATCACGGAAATGTTATCGTCATCGTCCGCGATCACGGCAACATCATGAACATTTCCCGCGGCCGTGTAGACATCATCATCGTCTCCCGCGGTCACGGAAACGTCATCGTCATCTCCCGCGGTCACGGAAACGTCATTATCGTCGTCCGCAATCGTGACAAAATCATGAACATTTCCCGCGGCCGAGCAGATATCAACGTCGTCTCCCGCGGTCACGGAAACGTCATCGTCGTCGTCCGCGATCGTGACAAAATCATGAACATTTCCCTTGGCCGAGCAGATATCATCGTCGTCTCCCGCGGTCACGGAAACGTCATCGTCGTCGTCCGCGATCGTGACAAAATCATGAACATTTCCCGCGGCCGAGCAGATATCATCGTCGTCTCCCGCGGTCACGGAAACGTCATCGTCGTCTTTCGTGGTTTCGGAAACGTCATCGTCGTCGTCCACTATCGCGGCAAAATCGTGAACATTTCCCGAGGCTGTGTAGACATTATCATTGGCTTTTGCGGTTACGTAAACGCAAGACGACGATCGCGGCAAAATCATGAAAATTCCCGACTTTTAAATCAAATTTAAGACTAAATCCCGACTTTCAAGACCATTTTAAAATTCAATACTAATTCCCGACTTTCCCGATTTTCCCGACTACTAGACACCCTGTTTCTACATTGGGCAGACATTATGGAAGAAACTCGGTAAGCCCCAGGTTAAACCTCTCTCGGGATTGACAGGCTATGGTCAAACACCTTTAGCATGTTTGGGCAAATGCTATATGTGTCAGTGTGTTTGAATGGGGAGTTGAGGAAATTACCAGCAGCAGTAATGGAAAAAGATGATATTCCATTGTTTGGACTTCCATGGATGGTATCATTTGGAAAGAAACTTCCACCTGAAGTTAGTATAAAATCAAACGTAGCAAATGAGTGTGTTATAACGGAAGAGGAAGCCCAAGCATTGGTGATGAAGGAATTTGATAGTGTTTTCTCAGATGGGTTGGGTAAAATTGAAGGAGTAAAGGCTAGAATACATGTAAGGGAGGATTTTCAACCGATTTCACTGAAAGCCAGAAGAGTACCCTTTCCTTTGAAAACTTCCGTGGAGAAGGAGCTGAACCGACTTGTTGAGGGCGGAGTCTTAGAAAAGGTTGATCCGAGTGAAACAGCAATAGTCTAGTCAACCCCTACTGTGAATGTTAACAAAGGAGGTGGAAGGGTAAGGATTTGTGGAGATCTTCGGGTTACCGTGAACAAGGTGATTGAAGTTGACCAGATGCCTACTTTTGCTGATTTGACAAACAAAATTGCTGGAGGATGATTATTTACTGTAATTGAATTGAAGATGCATATTTATAGTTAGAAATTGCAGAAGAGGATTGAAACTACTTAATAATAGCTTCTCATAAGGGGTATTCCTGCTACAAGTTACGGGAATGGTTTTCTCCCTATGGAGTTCTTAGGATGATTGTCACTGACAATGGGACGCAATTTACTGCGGAGGTCTTTGAGAAGTTTTGCAAGGATAAAGCAATAAAACATGTCTGCAGTACACTGTATCATCCGAGGACGAATGAATAGCCCATACAGCTAATGGCAACTAAGGGACTGAACTTTGCGACTTACCTTCCACCGGCGCCGTGTATCGTGAATCAGCGTCTGGTCGACCAGTTTATTAAATGTATTTTCGTGTGTGTCATATCCGTATGTGTGTCTCGTTTATTTATTTGTTTATATTTTTGACAAACTCTACATGAGGGATTAGCAAGACATTCTGGACCTGAAGATGTGCTATTTTTGAAAAGCATGAAACAGCTGTAGTCATCATACTACTAAACTGATTGTTTTGACAGAAAACTGGTAATTTAAACCTATATTAATTAACATATAAATTATTTAAGAAATACACCGAAAACAAAAGCCTAATTCTTCAATTTCAAAGAAACTTTACAAACTAAAGATGACGCTTAACTACATTTAAACCAAACCTTCTAACAAAATTAATTACACACCACTGAACAAAGGATACAAACAATAACAAATAAAAGTCCTTTTTGGTTTGCTGAATGAAGGCTTTGCTGTTTGTCATGTAGCCATGTAGTTTCATTCACCAATAAATACATTTTAACGTTGAGCTTGAATTTTAAAATGGTAGTCTTGCGCAATGCACAGTGTTGCCATTTGTCACAGTGGTGACGTTTCACCATCGATTCTCGGTCCCGGTACCTTTCCCAAAAACCGGTGGAACCGACATTTGACGTTAAGTACCGACCCATCACTAATACTGATTCAATACCGTATATAGATATATAATTCAATAACATATAGGCCTAGATACGGATTCAATAACGTATATGGATACTGATTCAATAATGTATATGGATGCTGATTCAATAATGTAAGGGATACTGATTCAATAACGTGTTATGGATACTAGCATAGACAACAAGAATTAAATATAGACCGTCAGCCGTGATGCGATTAGCATTGGTTCTGGCGTCTACTGCTGGAAGCATGTAGCCGTAACTACATGGCGCTCCCAGTGGTGGACGCCAGAACCTACGATAATCGCAGCACAGCTGACGGTCTATATTTAATTCTTGTTGTCTATGCGTTGTCTAGTATCCATAATACGTTATTGAATCAGTATCCACAAACATTATTGAATCAGTATCCATATACCATTTAATTATTTTTGTCTATGATACTAGCATATGTCCATACCAAAATTTATTAAGATACCAATACCTGAAAAATCAATTCTCAATACCGATAAATTTTTCTTATATTTTCTATCAAATTTTCTAAATTGATTGGTTACTACACCAACCTCTGTGTTTATGTCTTTAAATTAAGTATTTTTGAGGTAATGGGGTTATTTTCAAATAAAGAAAAATATTATGCAGCAATGAAATGATACATTCCAACTAGCAAATTTATTGTTCATTGGTTCTTGCGTTATTAAGTAACAGACAGACACACACACAAACACACACCATCTAATTTTTATATATTAGTATAGATATATTTATATATTTATTTATTTATACTAGCCCGTCATAGCAGGATATGTAACGATTTGTACGCGAAAGCAGGTGATGATAACAATGTTCCCATGACGGCAGGAGTTGTTCTCTTATTTTGCGCGATCGCGGGTGATGATAAGGATATCCTTGTAATATCAGGCAATGTTAATGATTTTCTGTATTTGTGGGCGACAATAATCATGTCCCCTTAATAGTGAGAGGTGTTAACGTGTCAGCCGTGATCGCAGATGACAATAACGACGTCCCTGTGACGGCGCGAGTTGTCCACGATTTTCCGCAACTGCGGATTAAGATAAACCATTTCCCCGTAATAGCGAGAGTGTTAAGATTTCAGCCGTGATTGCAGATGGAGATAAAAACAATGTCCACGTGTCGTGGGTAACAATAATGATGTCCCTATGATAGCGGGAGATGTTGAAGATTTAGGATAAATACACTGCCAGATCATCATTACATTTTTGCTGACAAAATTGTCTCTTATAATATTATAGATTACTGCACTTTTATTTACCCCTGAGTAGTAGATGCAGTGACAGACACGACCATTATCGTAGCTTGAGTCAAGAACTGTTGCAATGCTTCATTGTTCTTGGCCTTGTCCAGGTCATTGCCTAGTTCTCTCACAGTCATCATATACTCTTGTGGTTGTACAACCAAACTCTCCAACTCAGGAAACCTCTTAGAGTACTTGTCTCGAACAAATCTGTGGATCAGAACTATCCAAAGAAATCATTAACTCATCACAGCAATCTAGCAAATGGTTTTCAATTAGATTTTAGAGAATGTGCCAAAAATTTGGTACCAAGATGATAGGTTTTTGTACTTAAATAAACATTTTTTTGTATAGTCCTTATGAGTAGGGTTTTTTACCCATTTTACTTGGAATGGCCTAGCTAGGGTGCGCTAGCCGATGTTTAGGAAAACTAAGCTAACATTTTTTAACATACATTGGTATACATAGGTCATGTATGAATATTGATTGATCATCTTCTTAAATATTAATTATCTTGTAAACCCACTTGTAAAATGGTGTTTGCCAGATATAAAATGAATTAAATTGAATTGACGAATCTGCACCAAACTTCACACAAACCATCCTTGAATAATGCTTAATAATGCCTGAAAGTTTCATTACAATCTGTCGAGCTGTTTGGGAGTCCAAACGTTTAAATATATATATATATATATACAAACTTCCTCTTTTAATATATACTAGTGAGCCGCATAGTATGAAACATAACTCATTGAGGTTTGGAAGGCATTTTCTGCTCTTCCAACAAAACTGATTAACTGTTTAACTTGGTCTTAACCAACCTACTGAATATTACAAACATTAATACTTACTCCCCAAAAGCTAATGAGTTTCTTTTTATAAACAGCTGTTTTTGTTTTTAAATTTGTTCTGTGTATTTCTTATGGGGAAAACCCGACCTTTGAGAGGGTCTCACGCCCTTAAGAGTAGGAATTTTATAATTTTAAAACCACCATGTACACAGAAAAGTAGCTTACAATTTCCAGTAATGGTATACCAAATGTGGTTGTGATATCGTTTGTCGTTTAAAAGTTATAAAGTCGTCCTAAGACTTAATGGTCACCCTAAAAGGCAAAGCCCTCACTTACTCACTGACTTACTCATCACTAATTCTCCCACTTCCCATTTACCTAGGAGGCTTAAATTCGGTACACCGATTCTTTGGGCATTAAATAGGAAAACTAAGTAGTTTTTATTCTGATCGGGCTTTCGGGCTCCGCCCCAGTGGCTCTGGAGTTTCCCATGTTAACCTTATGATTTTTCATATTTAAAAGGAATTAATGAATCTTAACAGCTGTTTCAATTAAACAAGTTGATTCTGTTCTATGATATTCAATAGCATTAAAGTTACAAGGATTACCAACAGGGTGCAGCACTATTTTTTTTTTTTATTTATGACAACAGCTAATTTGCAACCAAAAGGTGAGTGAGCGTAGCCAGGGTGTCTACTACATTCTGGATGAAAAATTCATGGTCAATTCCCGTACATTTAAGGACACTTTGCTGTAACCTTTGTCGGTGTCATTAGGCCTACCGAATAATTTTCCTGATTTGTCAAACTGTATTAATCTTGTTATTCACTGTAGTTGTACCAGAGAGAAAAGTAAATAATAATAGATAAGAGTTAAAAATTTCAAAATAGAAATTTATTGAAAGTAAACAAACATAGGCCTACCTATACTTTAGGTAAAGCTTTTATAGTGTAACAGAGAAACGCAATCATTGTCTCCTGCGATAGCGACAAATATCTCCATCGGTCACGTAAACTTCATAACATAGCTTATCCGATCCAGGCCAATTAATTTGGCATGATTCGCCCTGGCACAACGTTAGGTTCTCGACTACTTTTGAAAAAAAAATCTTTAATGCATATTGTTACTCAATTCTTAGTACAAAATCAAGGTATGGTAAGCGGCTATTAATAAGCAATAAGTACAGAGTAAGATTATTGTATTTTCATTTGCAAAGTTAATATCGACACATAGCAATCATTAGTTGTTTATCTTAGGCTCAATTACATTTTCTTAATATATTTTACAGCTCTTTCAAGAATCAAACACATTGAAACCTGAATAGCCAACAATATAAGACAAAAGATACAGAAAATGCAATGACATAATTGGAAACCAAGCAGGCCTACATAGTGATAAAACATTAATGCAAACAACAATGCTTGTGGTTTTGTCAATTGAAAGATAAAATGTCCATAAAAAAGGGGTTAACTTACAAAATAAGACTGTAGATTATTTACATGTTTAATATGAAACCATAAACAGTTTTATGGCACTAGGCACTGGCCGTGGCAAGAAGTGGAATTTAACAGCCATTATAAAGCTATTATTTTCACGATAAAATAGGTTTGGGATCTAATAATAATTACCCTGGTAATAAAAAAAGAAGTTGTAAAGGAATAAATATTTTAAAAGTGATACAACTTTTATGAGCTAGCTGCTGAGTCAACAGTTCTTGGAAGTACTTGACTTGACACTTGATTGTCTTGATAAAATATTAATGGATTTGAGATTGCTAATGGGATTTTTATTGCATAATTACTCTAGTAATAAATTATGAAAATGTAAACAAACATCTGATAAACCTTTTATGTGCTCCTAACCAACTAGCGATCAATAAAATTATGGCCCATTAAAAATTTAAGGACATAGTCTGGCATTTAAGGACAATTCCCGTACATTTCATGGCCAGTAAAAATTTAAGTACAAATCCCGGTTTTCCCGGATTTCCCGGTTGGTAGACACCCTGGTAGCGAACGAACTTCAACCAGGACGTGATTGAGCCATGCGAACGAGCTCATCTTGAAATGAACAAGCATTTGACATCAAACCACATTAGGACAGGACGGGTCAGCTAGTGTATGTATAAAGGGGAGTTATAATGCTCTGCTTTCCAAAAATACCACATACCTATCTAGTAAGCTTATAGTTATTATGCTCTATAATCATACTCACTTATTTCATTGTCGATGTCAACAGCGAGATTGTTTGCCTCAACAATCAGTTGGTATTCTGGATCAATCTCAAGTGGTCCTACGCTTCTCTTGGTCACAGGTTCGCTTTGAAACTTTTGAATGTCATTCATAATTCGTTCCAGTCTATCTGAGTTCCTCAATGTGGCCAACTGCTTTACGGAAGTAACTTTGATTTCTAGAAATGATATTTGGAAATTACTCCACTAATTAATAAATAAACTGAACCTTATTGATAAGGCCCGACCTACCACAAACAACATTGTGTGTCGCAATGACAGGAAGAGCCGACACCGAAGGATCAAAAAACGACGTCGCTAAGAACGCTTGGCCGCCACAAGCCAGTTATCCCTGTGGCAACTTTTCTGACACCACAATAAATAACAAGGCTAATAAATAATTTTATATAGAATAAAATAATAAAAAAAATTGTTTATTAAAATTAATGTAGGTACAGTATTTTCAAAACTGTAACTCACCAAAGATTCCAACTACTGTAATATTTTTATTTTCCTGGTCAAAACTACCATAATGCACTTCTGGAAGAGGTATCTGAATAACAAGATGTAGTAAAAACAAATTTGAATTAGGCTATTATAATTTTAATCAATAAAACAAGCATTAGTACATCTATTGACTTTTTTACATTTAGTTACTTATACAAATATCAAATCACGTTTGTTCCGCTCAACTGGCTTTCACCTCTCTGAAAGCAATCCTAAAAATACTTATGGAGACTTTTCTTATGGAGATTTAACATTGGACAAAATTTTAAAGCTTAAGACAGCTAGCCTGACCATACTATTGGACTGAATTACACGCGGTTGGTACCAAATGTAATTGTCTCTATATTTGTCCAGTTTGCTTTGATTTCAGATATTACTTGACTAAGTGTTATAAAAACAGAAATTAAAAAATCTATTGACAATTTAACGTGGGGTAAAAGTTTAAGTCTAATAGGAGTGAGATCTGGAGATCTATTGGACAGATTTACATGCATGTTGTGTTAAATGAAATGTTTCCCATGTGCCTGAAAAGTTTACTATTCCTTTAGTGAATCTTATATATTAAAAAGCTTTCGGAAAACATGACAATCAGCCTGACCATATTACTGGGCCAATTTACATGCGCATTGTACCAAAAGGTTATGGATGAAATTCTAATCGCATGTTTTATTTACAGCGTGGGGTTAAAATAGAGAAGTTTGCACAATACATACTTTTGGTAAAGTTTTTGACCACGGGGCGAGCTCTCGTTTTATCTAATTTCTTCGCTAGTTTATAGGCTGGAGAAGGCATGAAATTTACTAATGGTCGGATTGGGACATCTAGTTTGTAAATTTTTGGGAGGTCCCTTAGGACCGGTGCTTGTGGGTTTGTTAATTTTAGAGAGGATAGATCATTGCTGACAACAAGTTCTTGCTCACAGATATTGATTTATTGATTAGTTTGGCGAAAGAAGTTGTTGGATCTTTGTTAAGAAGTTTGATGTTATTTTTACTTATAAAGTCACAAACTTTATTAACATAAATATCTTTATCCATTATGACAAATGAGTTGCCTATATCGGCTTTTGCAATCGATGCGTTCCCCTCAGCAAGTTTGTTCCTGATGCTAGTTACTGCCTGTCGCATTGACTTGTACTTGTTGTTTAGTTTCCTTGTGCCCACCGAGTTCCTCATAACCTGTTTGGCTTTGTTTGCCATAATGAATCTAGAGCCGTCAAATCAGACAAGGACAATGTTTTAAACAACCAACTTTACTTTAATTCAAACATCATATACAACACCGCAATAGAAATACTGTAGAGGGGAGGGGAAGGCAGAGACAATGGAACCGGCGAGTGATAAGACAATGTGTGTGTTACCTGACCAGCTGTGTATCCTACAGTCTAGACGCAAACCTCCGCAACACGGGTCCGCTCGTCGAGTTAAATATTTTATTTTATCGGCCGTATATGTGTGAGCGCTATGTGTTTGTTCGTATGTATGTATAAGTGTAAAAAACTGTTAATCCTGACGACTTTCATTTGAAGTAATCATCTTTGTACGCACCTGATGATGACCTCTTAGCAGGTTGAAACTAGTTGTGGATACAACAATGGTATTACCAGAATAAGGTATTTAAACCACTATCATTAGTTATTATTCGCAATCCGGAGGCTACTCTTACCACAGTGAAGTTATTTATTTTTATACAGGTTAGTAAACTCATTTAGAGTTAATTTGGTTAGCAAGCTCTGTCTCCCGGTATTTGACTTCAAAACATGTAGGCTTAAACACATTATACTTAAAACTTAATATGACAAATCAAATTATAGGCTACCTTCTTCCAAAGGTTTGATTGGCGCCACTGTCGGTAGGATCTCCGATGTATCCATGGCCACTTCTTCATGGTCGTCATCTTCTAAATCAGCCAATAGTTCATCCGCAAGAGACATCTTCTTTCAAAATGTAATAGTATGGATATACACTGTAACCATAAACATTTTTAAAAGCTATGTAACTTTATGTATGGTTGAGGTTGAACTATTGATGTATTAACTCATGACATGTATAAGTTTAGCCTAAATTCAGATTTTTCATTAGGCTATTGATCCTGTGAGGTACTGTATGATCTTAATCAACAACTTACTGGAACTGACATTATATTCAACATAAAATATAAATAATTTTATAATCCATACTATTATAAAATTGAGGTGGTGTCTGTTTCTCTGTGCGGCTGCCAGGACTAAAATACTAAACCGATACCGTCAAAATTAAACACACCGATAGTCCACATATCTAGGAATGTCATAGGCCTATTAACTTTCCTGAGTTCCTCTCAGTCTATGCCCCTTGGATGTCCAAAGTTTTGAGGTAAAAGTAAATATTAATTGGTCTCCATGGAAGCATGAGAAAATTCACAACCTTTGTTTACCTTTGTGTTGACATTTCAGTGTAAACAATCAGAACTGAACACTTATTTGACAATTTCAGACAGCTGATCCAAACAAATTAAATAAAATATTTTACCTAACCCGCCATGTTAAACTTCCCTATCCCAAGCGTGATGTATACAACTTCCTTACCTCTCGAGTGATGTAAAGTTGAAAAAAACTCACTCGGTGATGTAATGAAACCTATTTAAATAACATTGAGTGCTTAACTTAAAAAAATATACCTCTATGGAGGCATCGACGTTCAACGCTAGAAATCAGCTGTGCGCTTGAATGTTATTGTTATGCTTTAAAGTATTTTCCTAACCTAGCTTTTGTTTGTAAAAGAACGTTACTGTTAGACGATGAGTGAAATGGGTAATGAAAAACATTGTACGTAAGCCCATGTATATTGTCAGGTCAGGTAAAATCTTGTACGTTACACGTTGCGCAAGAGCGTGTTTACATCTCTTAGGTGAAATATGCAACTCGCTTCCGCTCGTTGCACAACATTCACCTGCATGATGTAAAAACGCTCTTACTACACTTGTAATGTAAATAGCTATTACACAATTATTTCTAAAACTATGTCATTAATTATGAAATTAAAGAAAGATACTATAACCGTAAGTTATGACAATTACCTTATTGATAATAAAACATACACGCTTATAGTAGGCCTAAATGGGAAAAATTGTAAAAGAACAAAAAACTAACAGTTAAAACATAGGTACTTTGATTAGTAATGAAAGAGAAGTCAAATACAGTTCATCAAATGAATAAATAGCCCTGCTAATGAGAAATTTCTTAAGTTTGTTTTTAAATTTTTGATATTTACTTCTGCTTGTATGTCCTTTGGAAGTTTATTGGAAATGCTCGCAACTGTTAATAATAGCAATATTAAATATTGGAATCAAGCTTACAACGGTGATTATTAGTCGAAGATCTTTTTTATGAAATGTAATCAAACAATTGATTTATTTCATTTCCACAACATAGTGAAAGTATATTATGGATGTAAAAAATAGTCTACAAAAATAATCATATATATTAAAACGTAAGATAATTTTGAGAACTAGGGAATGTCGAAGCCATAATTTTAAAGTAGGATTTCAGTTTTTTTTAAATTAAGTTTTAAAAAGTCTAGCAGCCGACGCTAACATTCTACTCTAGCTTTTGGTATAATAGGTACCATTTGCTTAATGTAACAGCATTTTCGACACAAATTCAGCATTTGGATTAAAATGAAATGACATACGTAGAATTGACTTATTTACTATGGTAATGCTATCTATATAATTAATACGCTACATGAAAATTTGTCGGTTGAACTCCTCCGCCATTTCTTAACCGATTTGATCCATTGGCGTCTCATTGGAAAGAGCGTGTCGCGTAGATTTGCAAACTGGCCTTACATTTTTTTTAAAGTCCCTTGGGCTCTGCCCCAGTGGCTTTGAAAATTCCCATGTTATCCTTATGAAGAACATGATTGTTTACATTTTGATCAGCTGTATAATTTAATTGCTGATATTTATTTTTCAATTCAATGAAACACATTGAGTACATTTATTTACTATTTGAGTTTGTGTAAACATAACCTCCAAAACGGATTGTGTTAGTATGGTTGTATCTTAAATTTGTGTATTTATCGTTGTTTTGTGTCGCTATGACGAATCGTGTTAGTATGATTGTAACTTAAATTTGTGCATTTATATCTTTGTTTTGTGTAGCTATAATTTGTTTATGTGTTGTTTTTTTTTTTTTTTAATGCTTCCGACACGACGACAACGAAACATAGACAGGTGGCGTAATCGTGATAATGACCGCAGCTACAGTGGCATGTTGAATAGGCTTAACTCATCACAGTCAGCACCTGACCCTGGACAAACTCAACTATTAGGTTACAAATGCGCCCTAACACTACCCCAAAACGACTTTTCGTTCTCAATTGGCCCTCTATCAATGAACTGTGTTGCCTGTACAGCGAGGCATTTTGAGAAGGAGGAAACCGGCCGGAATGCTTTAAGTTTATCAATAACGAAGATACGGTAAACACGGTCTGAGTTACACTGACACACACCAGTAATCTTTGAGTTGAGTCTTATAAACTCATTGTAAATATTTCTGTTATTCGTTTTGAAATAACTCCTGTAATACTTTGCAATTGCTCGAATTCGAGCAACATGTACACTAGTAATCATTAATAGGCTACGTTCATTTATTCAGTAAGAGGATGAGTTTTTTTTTTTTTAATATTCATAGTAAAATACTAGGTGTTCTAATTTATTTTTGGAGCAGTCTTTAAAATATTTAGTTTGTTCTAGTGAAATATAATGTGTTACAACTAACAGCTGGATGAATGAAAAAATATGCTATTTTACTCTGTAATTTTGTCATTGATTATAGGAAATAAGTAACATTCTATAACCATTGCTGTATACAAATCAAGGCTCACAAATCTTCAAAAGAATGGTTATGAAAATTATTTTAATACTTGACTTTTTGAGGAAAGGTTGGGAAAATAACAATGATCACATGTTTTAATTCATCTTGGCAGCTTTTTCTGTACTATAAATGAACTGCTTAAGATAAGATAAGATAAGATAAGATCTTTATTTCTATTAGATATTCTTTTGTGAGTCATATTTGTGAGTCATATAATGCAAGTTATATTTGCTTAAACTATGCTTGAATTAGTAAAAGGCACACTAAATACAGATTTAATGGACTCCTCAATTCCCTTATGTAGGACGGGCCGACAGCTCGTTTTGTATTATAACTACAAAAGGTTTAGGGTACCAACCTTCACATTTGAGGACAAACTGATGCTAACACACTGTTATCCTATGATGAGGTCAAAAGGTTTTATATACAAAATTTTGTGGGACATTGGATGGGTTGGAATCAGTTTCAGACCTCGTCTGGAAGGGAAATAATGCGGGACCTCGGAAATGTTGTTACATTTAATTTGTGTTTAGGACCTCGTTGGTGAGGGAAATAATGCAGGACCTCGGAAGTGTGGATATTTTTGTTTGTGTTTAGGACCACGTTTTTGGAAAATATAGGTAACGTTAAAATAAAATTGGATAAAATAGGAAAGTGTAGGTATCTTGATAACTTTGAAATTTTAATTAAATTAACAAAATATCACCCGAAATTTTGTTTGATAATTTTGGAAGTGTTTAAGCAATTTTATGGATATTATGAATGACCACCTTTTTGATAGGTACTATTGGTCATGCATGACTAAATAAAAATATTCCTATTGACGAGTCTTGGTAATAAATACTAAGAAATATATATGCTAAATTTTATCTGTGTTAGAAAAGTATTCCTATATAAGATATACCTAGATTATTTAGTGAATAAAACTAACCGTCGGCTAACTAATAAACAACAAGCTTCCAAGCATAGATTTAATTTTGAATTATTTTTCTTGTTATTAGGGCTGAATCAAATATTAAAGTATTGAAGAGTCATTTGGAAACACCAGATATACATTGTATAGTGTAAAATAAACGGTAGGTGATAATACCACGAATTACAATAATAAATAGAAATAAATGATAAATGGCCTACTTATCGAAATAACAGGTGTTATTATTAATAATAGTAAGACACGCTCATAGGTACCAGTAATCCTGCAAAAAATCCGGAAGTTCTCGTTTATGCTAACTAATTTGGTCAAAGTGTATAGGACCTCGTTTTCGCGCTTTAGGCGAACACTTTTCAAGTCATCGGTAAAAATGTGAAAAATACCTAGGCCTACATCAAAGTATTATAGTAGGCTATGCATCTTAAGTTAAAATAATGTGTTTACAAAAAATAAAATAGCCTAGGCTACATTATTTCTGATGGAATAGCGAATTTTGTTTGAAGTCCCCGATTGTGTTGAGGGGGCCCGAGTACCTCAGTTGTGTGTTGACGGATTTGCGGCAATTAGTACAATCAAGGTCCTCTTACAAACATGTGTGTGCGTGTGTGTGTGTGTGTGTATGTGTGGATGTGTACAGAGCTAGAGACTCCACTTGTGGTCTAATTTCAAAGAAATTTGGTGTGTAGGTTCTAGGCTAATCTATGGTATCTCCACACGTTTTTTCCATTTTTTTGAAATTCTGATTGTCAATGTTTAGGCCTATTCTCCCATAAAACCCCATAAAATAATGGAGAAATTGGATTTTCTCAAACACGACCCAAATTATTATGATAAAATTTAGTATGTTGTAGCCCTTTAAATTCTGAACAAAATGGTGCGACTCCCATTTCTGTAAAAATTACGGTTCAAAAGTTATTTTTAAGTAATTTATTTTCCCATAAAAACCCCATAAAATAACGAAAAATAGGATTTTAGAAAAAAGCCGGGTTTGATTTAGCTTGCTTACTTACTGGCTCGGTATCAACTAGGCCTAAGTTACTGGCAAATTTTATTTTTACCCAGATAAGAAACTGTACCGGTACCAGAAATTATTCAGAGAACTTAAGTTATTGAAATCAAGCTCTTGTAAAAACTAAATAGCCTATTACCTTGTGACTACAATGCCCGCAACTAGGGATAATCTTGAATCGTAGTTGTCTCACTTATGTTAATGCTATTGAGGCCTATTTCTTTTTTGTCAAGCTTCCTTGCTTCTAATTGAGTCTGTGCAATTTCTGTCAATGCGTTTTGAATTTTTTCTAGTAAAATTTCACCTTGTTGAACTATATCTTCAAGGCGGTCGGCTGCTTTACTGTTTTCTTCTTCTAGTTCTCGTAGACTTTCAATTTGCAGTTCTAAAGTTGATTCATCACTTGGTAAAGAATCAATTAGCACTTCAATATCTTTGGCACACCTAGCGATTAGGGCAGCAAACAGTTTTGGATAATCTTCTTCTTGTTGTTGGGACTCCTGGCTTTTAGGTCGAGCTATTGATGAAATATTTCCAGGAGGAGCATACTGCTGTAAAATTCCTATACTGTTGCAAAAGTTTTCTGCTTGCTCATGTAACTTATCCTGCACTTGAGTCACCCTATCAGCCATTGAATTTGAGTTGCATACGTTTGAAAATAGCTTTGTAAAAATTGTTTAGGCAAGAAAAAACTAATTTTGATTTGAAATGCTAAATTTTAGACGCCTATTTTTCTATTGTAGGCCTAGGCCTAAACATCCAAGCCAAAACAGCTTTGGCAGTACAAAATGTATTTACCAAGATTGTGACAATATTTAGGCCTGTGTACATTGACAATGCAACTAGTAATATAACATCAACATTAGGAACTACTGCAATAGAAGAAATTATACTATCTAGTTTAAATTAAACATTGCCACGGCATCAATCTTAATGGTTAATAGGAGGGCGTATCTCGTAACAAAACAAAAGCTCTACTAAATTTAATACTAACCTCAATTCGGCCTCAATCTCTCTTCTCAGGCTTCTCTTCTCTCGGCTGAGTCGGCTCGGCACTCGGCAGTCGGCTCGGCTCAGCTGGAGCTGGATTGGATCTAGGATGTTGAGTTCAGCCATAAACAGAACGTTTTGAAAAGTATTGTATTTTCGGCTTCTTTCTCTAATATAGATTGGTAATTACTATACTATGCAGTTTTAAGGTGAACCACATAATATCATAGATTAAAGATTTCCTTGTCTGTGATTCAAGATACTCCCTTGCAGGAAATCTTTTTGAAGTGAAAAAATACTAGGTGTACAATCATTGACTATATAACACTACAAGTTAGTGTTAGTGTATAACACTCCGTAGTGTTATATAGTCAATGGTACAATGCAGTTGTCTGCTTGCAATATTGAGCGGAGCCAGCATATTAATTAAATGTCAATGATATATTAGGTTCGCATTTTAAATAGAACGCTTATTTGCAGTAGGTAGTAATCGTGATCCAAAGACAATCATAAGTCAGGATTAAGTGAATGAATTGTCTACTTGCAGGAATCATACTGTATGTTTCATCTGGTTCTCGTTCTCATAAATTAAATGTCTACTTGCCGTATCCAATGCAAATGATATATTTTTGGTTCGCATAAATGGAATGCCTAATTACAGATCCTAAAGTCAATAGCACATCTGGACGTCTGGTTCACCTAGACGGATTGTTTACTTGTAGTATCCAAACTCAATGGTACTTGTAAATGAATAGTCTACTTGCAGTATCCTAAATCAATGGTCCATTTATTTTGTTCAAATAAATAAAATGCCTAATTGCAGTATCCGAAGGCAATGGCAGGCTTAGACCATTGCTTCACTACTTCTGCTTCACTTATATGGGATGTCTATGTGCAGTATTCAAAGTCAATGATACGTCGGGTTCACGTCAACGAATTGTCTAATTGCAGTATCGAAACTATGAGTGTTATATTTGGTACACATTAATGGAATTCCTATTTGTAGACTGCAAATAGGAATTGCAGTACATATTCAAAGTCTACATTAATGGCACGCCTTACTCACATAAAATACTGTAAAAGTTATTTACAGTATCCAAACACAATATGGTGCATCAGGCTAATTCCGGCAACCCTTTTATTTGGTTAGTTATTCATTTTGTAGTAAACTATGCTCAATGCTTTAAATCCGATTGTTCTTCTCTTTTCCTCTGTGCGGTTTGTAGCATCTATTTCAGACGATTCGTTGACTAAAAGTTTCGACTCTCGTTTACCTTTTAGCGAATTTCCCATATAGGGAATAAGCTATTACCGTAGTACTCATGGTAAGACCTGGACCCGGGACCGATTTTTTTTTCGTTTTGAGGTCCCTAGAGGCTAAAAACACCATCCGTTCAAATTCATATCTCTAATATATAAAATTCTCGTGTCACAGTGTTTGTCTGCAAACTCCTCCGGAACGACTTCACCGATCGTTATAAAATTTGGTGTGTAAATTCTGTAGGTATGCGAATCGGACGTAAACTATTTCCCGTTTCGAAATTCTTAAAAGGGCTCCGCCCCAGTGGCTCTGGAGTTTCCCATGTTAACCTTATGAGAAATGGAATTAATGAATCTTAACAGCTGTTTCAATTAAACAAGTTGGTTCTGTTCTATGATGTTCAATAGCATTAAAGTTACAAGGATTACCAACAGGGTGCAGCACTATTACTTCTTTTACATTTATGACAACAGCTAATTTGCAACCAAAAGGTGAGTGAGCGTAGCGAACGAACTTCAACCTGGAGGCGAGTTAGCGTAGCGAACGAGCTCCAACCCAAAGGTGAGTGAGCGTAGCGAACGAACTTCAACCAGGGCGACGTGATTGAGCGATGCGAACGAGATCATCTTGAAAATTAAACGTAACGGTACTTTCTTTCCATCGGTCTGTCTTAGGGGAAACCTATAACTTAGGCGATACGAAGTTCGCCGGGTCAGCTAGTATATATATATATATATATATTTATATATGTGTCCGTTAGCGCGATAACTCGAGCAAAAACAATCCGATTTTGATGAAATTTGGTACAAACGTGTAAACCTACGTTTATTCGAACGAGTTCGCGAACCAGCATGATCGGACCATGGGAACGGGGGTTTATGGGAGGTTTTATGGGGTAAAAATGGGGTTTTTCCACTTTTGACTCAAAAAACATAAAATTTTGCAATTTCTTTCCAAACTATTTCGTAGAGCTTAAAAAAACAAATAATTTAGTATATTGAAGCGTTATAATGCACCTAATGGTTACGGAGAAAATTTCAAAATATTGTAAATTTAAAATTCCCATGTTATTCTTATGGAGAATAAGTAAACTGTTGTAGTTTGCTTGTTTATTAACATTTTTTGTCCAAATTTGGAAAATGTTTTTATTTCTTACTAACTATTAACATTTTACATAAAAACACTTTTACCCTCCCTGTTGCAGCAAACCTAAGTATGTGTTAAACTGATTCTATTTAAATAGGGAATAAATGTGATATTTTTAAGGAGACATTTTAGTGTAAATCCAATCAGGCAAATGGAAATTCACTTGGTCTGCAGGTTTGCTGCGGCGGGGGTATTTATCGTTATCTCAAAAATAATGATGGCAACCAACTAACCCATTAGACCCATGTTAAATTAATAAAAGTTTTTGTTACAGCATTTATTTCTGGTTCAATGTAGTCGACATTTTTCACAGAAGTGTTAACAAAATAAACAAGAAATAAACAATAATAACATCGTGGGTTCGCCCAGACCTGAGACAACCTGTAACATAAATAATTTAGAGCATCTACTGAAGTTTAATTTAATCTATGCTTATTACCAATTCTGCTATACAGTATTACCGTCTCACCATAAATATTGGTGTTAACAAAAAGCCATTCAAGAATAAAGGAACTCATGAATAATAAAACTTTATTTCCACAAAATGCACTATTACTGTAAATTAAAACGTCAAGCTTTAAATCAAGAAATAAAGGACAATGTTATTTTTCAATAAAATATACAGTTTCCTGAAACCCTCCATGCAGAGGAGCTATAGGTACATCTACAAGAAATAAATTAAAGATATAAAATAAAACAGCACACTTAACTCGGTTTAAAAATGTATATATTGTACTCGGTCAGCGTGTGGGCATGATAGAGATATTTAAAAATAAAATAACGTAGATTTTAGCGAATTTCCCATACAGGGGAAATAGCTATTACCGTAGTACTCATGATAAGACCTGGACCGGGACCGATTTACTTTTTCGTTTTGAGGTCTCTGGAGGCCAAAAACACCATCCGTTCAAATTCATATACATATGTGTGTGTGTGTCCGTTAGCAAGATACCTCGAGCAAAAATGATCCGATTTTAATTTGGTACAAACGTGTAAACCTACATTATTCAAACGAGTTCGCGAACCAGCATTATCGAACTGTGGGAACGGGGGTTTATGGGGGGTTTAAAAATAGGTGTAAAAATAGGGTTTTCCTATTTTTGACCCTAAAAAAAACAAAATTTCACAATTTTTTTCCAAACCATTTTGTAGAGCTGGAAAAAAAACAAATATAGTATATTGAAGCGTTATTATGCATCTAATTGTTACCGTACGGAGAAAAATCCGAAAGACTTTAAATTTGAAATTCCCATGTTATTCTTATGGAGAATGAGTCAACTGTTGTAGTTTGCATGTTTATGAACATATTTTGATTAAAATGTGGAAAATGCAACAATTTTGTACTAAAACTACAGTATTAACATTTTACAACAAAAAACACTTTTTTACCCGCACTATTCAGGTTTTCTGTGATTCAGGGGACGACTATTTGGTTGACCCGGATCAACAAAATGCAATACATTTAGCAAAATAACCACTTAGAATGTAGATATTTACATGAAACTTGGAACGAAGGTATATCCACAAGTATTCTACACGTACCTATGTAAAATTTGGTAACGATAAAAAATATGTATACCTATTTTATGAACTAAGAACCACCCAAAATAGCTAATTTTATTTTGTTGACCCGGGTCAATATTGCGAAAAAGGTACTTAGAATTAAACTATATACATGAAACTTGGAACTAAGGTATGTCAACAAGTATTCTACACTATGTAAAATTTTGTGACGATTAAAAAATATTTACCTATTTTAGCGAATTTCCCCTATAAGGAATAAGCTATTACCGTAGTACTCATGGTAAGACCTGGACCCGGGACCGATTTACTTTTTCGTTTTGAGGTCCCTAGAGACCAAAAACACCATCCGTTCAAATTCATAAATTCATATATATATCCCGTCCGGGAAGGGTTCATTTACAAAAAAAAAACAGTTTTACCCTCCCTGATGCAGCAAACCTAAGTACTTAAACTAATTCTATTTAAATAGGAATAAATAAATGTTGTATTTTTAAGTAGACATTTGAGTGTAAATCCAATCAGGCTAATGGAAATTCGCTTAGTCTGCAGATGCTGCGCCGGGGGTATTATTAACAAATAACCGCCTAAACAGCTAATTTAATTTGTTGACCCGGGTCAATCACGTAAAAAAGGTACTTAAAATTAGGTTATTTACATGAAACTTGGAACGAAGGTATATATACGTCTATTCTACACGTATGTAAAATTTTTTAACAATAAAAAAAAATTACCTATTTTATTATAAAAAACCCCCGCCACAAACAGCTAGGGCGGTTTTTGTTAATAAAATAGGTAAATATTTTAAATTAATACCTTCTTTCCAAGTTTAAAGTAAATATCTATATTATAAGTGGTTATCTTGCTAAATGTATTGAATTTGTTGACCCGGGGCAACAAAATAAATTAAGCTAGGCTGATTACGGAGGTTTTTTGATAATAAAATACGTAAATATTTTTCAATCGTTACAAAATTTTACACACGTGTAGAATATAAGTAAATAAACCTTCGTTCCAAGTTTCATCTATAAACTTTAATTCTAAGTACTGTACCTTTTTTTGCGATTGTCCCGGGTCAACAAAATAAAACTAGCTATTTACGGCAGTTTGTTGTTAATAGGAAAATAGGTAAATATTTTTTAGTTGTTTCCAAATTTTACATACGTACTTATAGAATACATGTTGATAAACCTCCGTT